CAGTTGCTCAGGCAAAAACAAGTGAAAGAAAGCAACCCCCTCTGGAGTGCCCGTGTCTCCTGGAACTCTGCTCTGTCCCTTTCCCCAGTATAGCTGTACCATAGGAACCGCTCCCCTGCCCCGTGGTCCTCCAGCCAGGTGATCCTTTAGAGCAAGCCAGATTCCTCCCCTCCCGTCTGGGCCAGTGCTTCCCCCAGTTCACGTCTCAGCTTAGGCCCTGTCTCCTTCAGGGCTGACTTCCGGAGCCGCCCGTTTTGCCCAGCCCCCGTCCCTCTGCGTGCTCTGACTGCCCCGTGCTCTGCCTCGTGTCCCCACAGCACCGTCACCAACACCCTCTGTCATTTCGCTCCTTTTCCAACATGGGGGGCAGATGGTGTTCCCTCTGTCTTATTCATCACTGAGTCCCCAGCCCGCAGTGGAGGCTTGGTGAGCTGCTGTCGGGTGAGGAGGCAGGAAGATGCCTTAAATCCACTGTTCAGAGCATCAGCCCTGCCGCTCCCGCCAGTGCTTTAACCCACTTACTGCGAAGCCTCACTTTCTTCCTGTCTGAAATAAGAGTGTTACTATGGGTATGTTAGTGATGGGTGCCATAGATGGCATTTTATGGTAGAGTTAGTATTAGCAGTGCGACCTCAGGGGTTTGGCTTTATGATTTGTGTCTATGTACTGAATTTTTCTTTTAATTATCAAGAGATGCTTACTGGCCTGGTGTGCCAGAAGTGTGCTGGGTGCCTTCTCGTTGTCCCCCGAGTCCTCTTTAAGAGTTCCGGTTCCTCCCACAGCATCAGTCAGCCTTTTGGAATGGTTCTAGAACGTGTTTTCTGCCTGAGGCTCTCAGGCCAGTTGGATGGTGGCATTTTACGAAAATAAAGCAGCATTTGTATCTGCCCTAAAGCCCATGGAGGTGCTCCCTGTCAGAGCTGCGGTGTGTCTGTGTGGGGTCTCTAGTGTGGCTGAAACCTGCCCTTTTGGCCCCTAGTTGAGGGGGAGCTGGGCTATGCCCCCACCACCTGCCAGCCCAGTGTGTGGGGATGAGGAGACTGATACCCACTCAGCCTTGCTGGTGCTGCTCATCTGTGCTGGCCTGCAGCCCGGCCTGGGGTGTTTGGAGAGAATGAGGCGGAGGGTGAGGCTGACTTTCAACCTTGTGTCTCAGGCAGCCCTGGAAGCCTCAGTGCTCTCCTCTTTCTTTTTTTTTTTTTTTGAGACGGAGTCTCCGCTCTGTCGCCTGGGCTGGAGTGCAGTGGCCGGATCTCAGCTCACTGCAAGCTCCGCCTCCCGGGTTCATGCCATTCTCCTGCCTCAGCCTCCCGAGTAGCTGGGACTACAGGTGCCCGCCACCTCGCCGGGGTAATTTTTTTTTTGTATTTTTTAGTAGAGACGGGGTTTCACCATGTTAGCCAGGATGGTCTGGATCTCCTGACCTCGTGACCCGCCCGTCTCGGCCTCCCAAAGTGCTGGGATTACAGGCTTGAGCCACCACGCCCGGCCGTGCTCTCCTCTTTCAAATGGGCACACTGCTCTTGGGATCCATCTGTGTGGGCAGTAGCCGGCAGAGGATCTCGGCCTCCAGGACGGGGATGCTCTCTGTGCACTGGTGGCTCCCGCACAGGCCTGCCCTGGAACTTCTGCCACCGGAGCTGCCTTCCCCTCACTCTCCCCTCTCACTGGGAATTTTGAAATGAATCCTCATTTGCCTGTCAGGGTGACCTAGCCTCTTCACCTACTTTTAGGAAGTGTTCTAATGCACCCCCCACTGCTGCTCTTTGCAGGAGTCATCTGTCGCGCTTTCTTCTTCCTGACAACTTTGCTCCTGGGTCTGTGTGGTGGCTGCCAGCCCTGTTGTACTGGGGGCACTGGTCTCACTTGCTTCGAGGAGGGAGGAGCCACTCCTTACCGGCACCTGCCCTCCCCAGGAGCAAGTGTCCTGTGGTGGCCGAGGATTGGCCAGTAGCAGGTTCTGCATCATTGGTCTTGGCAGTGGAGGAGCCTCCTGCCAAAGGAGCCCCCTGTACTCGCGGGGCTGGCCCCGCCCCCTCCAGCTGTGCCTGTCCTTCCTGAGGTGGGGGAGGGGTGCCGCAGGGCCCAGCCCCGCAGTGGCCTGCCTCTGGGAGGCACAGGCACAGGCACAGGGCAGGCAGGCACTGTGAGGCCAGCCGTCAGTGCTGGGCCTGGGATTGGCAGAGTTCCAGGCCTTAGGCTTCATAGTGAGCGGCTGTGCACCCTGAGTACACACCGGCCAGCCCTATGCTGAGGACTCTGACCCGCTATCACAATGGGGGGCCCAAGAGGAGAAGTCTCTGGGACTAGAGGGAGCAGCCCTGCTGGGCATCTGAGGCCTTGCTCCGCCCTGCATCTCTCAGAACCTTTGGGTGGCCTCTGGTCCTATACCAGTGACCACAAAGTGAGGCTCTACAGGCACAGCCCCCCTGATATGGCTATCAGTTCCACCTTGTCCATGTGGGCCGGAGCAGCCGTGAGAACTCATTCAGGGTCTTGAGTTCAGATGGGCTTCATGGAACTGAGCCCAGGGCTTACAGGGCAGGAGGCTGTGCTGGGAGGGGCCCCGCCTGGCTGGAACAGGGGCAGAGTGGGGAGCATGTGGGTTTCTTTGAGTCACAGGGAAGGGTGCTATGTCCTGGAGGTGGAAGTGCATTCTGTCTGTCCACCTGGGGACGTCATCCCCAACAGTAGTTATCAGGCCAGACTGGGAAGCTTCACCCATAGGGTGGGGGCCCTACTTGTCCGAGGTCCTGATCTCCCCTCAGTCTCTCACCTAGACAGGCTCCTCCCTGCCCTGGGCCTGGGAGTGCACATACCTGCTGTCTAAGGCAGTGCTTGAAGGAGAAATGTCCCACCCCTCCCACAGTGAGGAAAATGAAAGGAGAAGAGGGGACCTACACTCTGAGGGCAGTGACTTATCTGCGGTCTCACAGGAGGTGGGACAGGCAACCTGTTAATGAGTGAGCAGTTCAGATGGGGTTTATGGGCAAGGCACATCGGAGGAAGGAAGGACAGAGACCATAGAACTTGAGAGAGAGGGACACCGTAGCATTCCTCACCTCCCCCAGAGAAGTGAGGCTTGACCTCCACATTCAACCATAGTCTGCCTGGGCTCCATTCCATGGAGGAGCTGAGGGGCAGCTGAGCAGGAGCGGGGGCGGGGGTGTACAGGCTGGCCGGCGGGGAGCAGCGGAGGCTGCACAGTTGGTGTGGGGTAGGTGGTAGGTGCAGGCTGGGATGCCGGAGGGGCTGGAGACAGGTGGGGGCGAGTCTGAAAGCCTGTGCCCTTGAGATTTCGGATCTCCCTGCCTCAGCCTGGTCATGTTAGGGGTCAACCATGGCACCTGGGTGGTGGTGAGAGAGAGACGGGGTAGGGAGGGAGCACAGAGCTGCTCTGGGCTTGTGCAAAGCACACTAGTGGTTTCCTGGCCTTGAGGAGACCCCAGTGTTTTGAGCCAGTGCCCGGGTGCCCTGGCTGGACCATACTGGCATGACACACGTGTAGATGGCCTGCTTTCCCTCTGGCTCCAGGAGCATGAAGCAGCTGTCTCTTTCCTTTCAGTCTGAGTGCATAAGGGGGCACATTTGGGCAGGGCCTTGTGCTATTGCTCATTTGTGAAATCGGCTCCTTTAAGGAAGCTGCAGATGAGTCAGCTCTGGAGCATGTCCCATGGATGGTGACAGGACCCCTGTGTTGCCTTGTGCTGTCCCCAGCCTCCAGACTGGGTCTGCCTGGCTCTACCTGGGAAGGCCTCCCCAGGGTGTTTGCCAGTGAGGAAACAAAGACTCTGGCAAGATGAGTGCCCTGCCTGTGAGGACACAGATAGGACCAGAGGGCTTCAGCATGAAGCATGCCACAGGTGTGAATCAGGGCTCTCTGTGGGGTCCAAGTGGGCGCCAACCATCCCATGGAAAACTGTGACACTTCGGGAATTCTACTAGAGCTCAGCTGCTAAATTTCTCTTTTGTTCCCTGGTAAACATTGGGATGCTTTTTTAAGAACCTGACTCTCCCTGTCTCAATTCCTGTGACCTGTCCTGTTGGGGCGTCGAGGCCAGGGATTGGAGCGGCCCCTTTAAGAGTGCCAGTGTCCCAGCCCCTGCTATGGAATGCCAGCCGCCTCCCTGCAGACAGACATCGCTGTGCTGTCGTCCTGTCTCCGTGAGGGTTAACAACACTTCAGCCTGTTGTCTGGAACCGGCTCAGACTGGTTTTCTGGAAAGTGCTTTGTCTCTCCTACTGAATCCTGGGAAGGGTCATGTGGAGCCCAGTGATGTCATGGGATCAAAAACTGACTCAGCTGTTTTTTTCTTCTTTTTCTTTCTTCTTTAAATCAAGATATGTGTGTGCTGCAGGTACAGGGCGGTGGCGTGTTGATGGGCCAGGCCTCACCCTACTCAAAGTGTACCTTGCCGGCAACCAAAGGGTTAAATGTGACCCCTAGTCCCCACTCCCCAGAGGTGAGCAGGGAGTGAGGAGACCTCCCTTCACTGAAGGGGAGAAGCTGGGGTTAACTCGAGTCACCACAGTGTAGGGCTAGACCCAGGCCCTGACCCTGTTCCTGGAACAGTGCAGTCACCGCCCTCCTGGATTCCAGACATTGCAGGTGCTCGAAATCCCAAAGGCAGGTAGTTCAGATCTAGAACAACTTTTCCTCTGTTTGCTGTTGAGCCTTTCCTTGCTGATAAGCAGCTGCCTTCCACTGCTTCCGTCCAGCTCCCTGCTGCCTTTCGCCCCCAACCGGGCAGGGTGTAGCTTGGCTCCACCAGTGTTCAGCCACACGGTGGAGGCTGGGGACACCCCCATCCTGCCTCGCCTTCCTCAAGGCAGTGATGAAATGTCCTGGGGATGCTTTTCTGGGCCCTGCGTTTGTTGTACATTCTTTTGCCATCCTCCCATAGGGAGGAAAACACTGAAAGCAACACTGAAAAGTTTCCAAGAAGGTGGCACCTTCGTTGCACCCAGTTAAAATGTTGTGTCTTCTCCTCCCTCACAAGTTCAGAATGACCGAAGAAGCATGCCGAACACGGAGTCAGAAACGAGCGCTTGAACGGGACCCAACAGAGGACGATGTGGAGAGCAAGAAAATAAAAATGGAGAGAGGATTGTTGGCTTCAGATTTAAACACTGACGGAGACATGAGGGTGACACCTGAGCCGGGAGCGGGTCCAGCCCAAGGATTGCTGAGGGCAACAGAGGTCACGGCCGTGGCAATGGGCAGAGGCGAAGGGCTGGTGGGTGATGGACCCGTGGACATGCGCACCTCACACAGGTGAGTGGGAGGAGCCAGCGGGAGGGGCTGGAACCTGGAGACAGGCCCAGTGTGCCCAGATTGGGGCAGCCACACTCCAGGCCTCTTGGTAATAGCTTGGCGGGGTTGTGGAGATGGCTGTAGGCTCAGCTCGGGCATCACCCCCCCGGCAGCTGTGCTGTTGTGGCCATTCCAGGGCCCCAGGTCCCAGCTGCAAGTAACACAGGGTGTGGGTCTCACAGGAGGAGGAGTGGCACATTCCATCAGCTCCCCTGCCATCAGTAGGCCTTTGCCACCCATGCGCCTGCTGTCTGTCTAACTCGGTGCTTTTGATTTGTAGGGACACTTGACGTTTTCATTTGGTTATGCTTCCCTGCTTTTCAGATCTGGGGATCAGAGGGCCAGGGATACTACACCTACCTTGGTCACTTGGCTAGGGATAGAGTCGGGAGCCCAGCCCAGGGCACCCTCCTCAGAGCGGGTACGGGGTGCTCATTTGACTCCACATTCACTTGCTTCTGGTCTTCAGCTTGCTCTGTTGGTTTGTCCTTAGTCAACACTGATTACTTCTAGAGTGACTTTCCTCATATTCATCTTTTGTGAGTCTTTTAAGGTAAAAACTTGAAATAAAAATAAGACCCAATCTACCACCCATTTCTTGACTTCAAAACCTTCCTTTCTCTCTGTAAAGAGAAATTCAGACCCAGCACCTGCTCTTGCATCACCCTCCTTGGAGCTCTGCAGAATGTTCACGCCCAGACACCCGCTGAGGGCTGTGGTGTGGCCACAGCTCCCCGGCTGGCCCTGTGACAGACTCCTCTGTGGCCCGTTGCTCTCTCTCTCTCACCACCCACTAGAGTCTTCTCCCTGTGGAGGGTCTGTCTCTCCATGCCTGTTCGTAAGGGACAGCTTGTGGCTCCTCACCTTTCCGTGTCAACCAACTCCACAGGGAGACCCCAGCCTCCAGTCTTATGTCAGATTCGTTTTTGGAACCCAAACTGTTGGGATCCTGAGAACTTCAGAGATCATCCGGTGTTCACAGCGTTTAAAATGGGAAGATAAATGGGAAAACCCAAGCCCGGTCCTGTTGACAAAGGCTCCTAGTGTGAGGAAACACACTTTGTGGTCCTGCTGTCCAAAGAGGGCTTTTCTGTCTGACTCTGCTGTCTACAGTCCCCATTCTAAAACCAAGGTCCTCTTCTAAAGTTCCAGAAATAAAACTATAGGTCCAAGTCTCCTTTCCCTTTCTCTGACTATGTTTTCAGCCGGAGACCAGTCCATGACAGCTCAGCAGGGGTGAGCAGTGAGGGGCTGGTGTGGAGTCAGGGCAGGAAGAGGAGGAGTCCATGTTCATGGGAATCTGCAGTCCATGTGCATGGGGTTCCTCATGCATTCCTGGGCTCCTGGCGTGCATTTTCTCCTGTAATCACCATGTTCCCCTGCAGGGTAGGCCAGTGGATTGTGAGGGAGAGGTTAAGTGTTAAAGAAACTCAGAGTTGGCTGGGCACGGTGGCTTACGCCTGTAATCCCAGCACTTTGGGAGGCTCAGGCGGGTGGATCACGAGGTCAGGAGGTTGAGACCATCCTGGCTAACATGGTGAAACCTTGTCTGTACTAAAAATACAAAAAATTAGCCGGGCGTGGTGGTGGCGGGCGCCTGTAGTCCCAGCTACTCGAGAGACTGAGGCAGAATGGCGTGAACCTGGGAGGCGGAGCTTGCAGTGAGCCCAGATCGCGCCACTGCACTCCAGCCTGGGCGACAGAGCAAGAGTCCGTCTCAAAAAAAAAAAAAGAAAAGAAAGAAACTCAGAGTTGGCCAGGCGCGGTGGCTCACACCTGTAATCCCAGCACTTTGTGGGGCCAAGGCGGGTGGATCACGAGGTCAGAAGATAGAGACCATCCTGACTAACATGATGAAACCCCGTCTCTACTAAACAAAATAGAAGAAATCAGCTGGGCATGGTGGCAGGCACTTGTACACTTGTAGTCCCAGCTACTCAGGAGGCTGAGGCAAGAGAATGGCGTGAGCCCAGGAGGCAGAGCTTGCAGTGAGCTGAGATCACGCCACTGCACTCCAGCCTGGGCGACGCAGCGAGACTCCATCTCAAAAAAAAGAAACTCAGAGTTCAGACCCAAACCCAGATATTTTCTGTTGTCAAAGCCGGGGGCTACCCTGGGCCTCTTGGTGTCTTTCCTCACTGGGTCATTGCCTTCCAAACTGAGAAGATGCAGCATTGTTTCCTGCAGTTGATTGTGTTGCTTTCCTTATGACAGTAAAGGAAGGGAGCAGGGGACAGAGATGAACGCAGGTGCTGGTGGTGCTGGTGTCAGGGCCCTCCTGGAGCACTGAGACACCCAGGGCATTTGTGAAGCAGTGTGGGAATGAGCAAAGAACCCAGCTCACAGGCCAGCAGGCAGAGTTGGGGTCATATCACTCACACTGCCTGATCCTGAGCAGAGATCTTAGCCTGTGTTTCTTCATTTGTAAGATGAGCAATCATCTCTGCCTTGCAGGTTGATTGTATGCCAGGTAACGTCTACCAAGAATCAGCCTCCTTGTTTGGTGTCTAGTGAGGAAGGCGACTGACTCTGTTGGTGACAGCTTCCCTTCAGTCTTTAGCTTTACTCAAAAAGAGATGTCACGTGTATGCCTAGTGTCTCCCCAAATTCTCACACTGTTTTGTGTCGTTCTTTGGAAAAGTACAGATGGCAGTTTTGACATAATCACAGCATCATGTCCAGCCCAGAGCCATTCTAAAACTAATCCATTCTGTAGCACATGGCTCTGATTTCTTCTAATACCTTCAAATGAAGGTATTAAAGAAGTCTTTGGATTCTTCTTGGGAGTGTCCAGCTTGGAGCACCCCTTGAGAGCCTCCCTTTAGTGCACAGTGTGGTGGTTTTCTCAGTTCCCAGGTTGGTTTTCAGTCCTTCATAGGGCACAGCTGTATCAATCCACAGTTTAAGTCAGCTGAAGCTCTTTGGCTTCAGATTCAGTGTCTTATAAGACTGACATGCCAATTTTAAACTGTTATGCCAATAGAATTTAATTTTCGTTGTTTAACTTCTCAATTGAAGTATAGCATATGTAATGAAAAGTGCACATGTGAGCCACTAGATACACTTTGACAAACTGAACGCAACCTCATAACCCTAATCAAGGAACAAAATGTTATAGGCCGGGCACAGTGGCTCATGCCTATAATCTCAGCACTTTGGGAGGCTGAAGTAGGCAGATTGCTTGAGGACAGGAGTTCAAGACCAGCCTGGCCAACATAGCAAAACGCCGTCTGTACTAAAAATACAAAAATTAGCTAGGCATAGGGGACTGCCCTTGTAATCCCAGCTACTCGGGAAGCTGAGGCATGAGAATCGCTTGAACCCGGGAGACAGAGGTTGCAGTGAGCCAAGATTGTACCACTGCACTCCAGCCTGGGTGACAGAGTGAGACTCCCTCTCACTTAAAGAAAGAAAGAAAGAAAGAGAAAGAAAGAAAGAAACGAGGCTGGGTGCAGTGGCCCATGCCTGTAATCCCAGCGCTTTGAAAGGCCGAGAAGGGTAGATCACGAGGTCAGGAGATCGAGACCATCCTGGCTAACTTGGTGAAACCCTGTCTCTACTAAAAATACAAAAAAATTAGCCGAGCCTGGTGGCAGGTACCTGTAGTCCTGGTTACTTGGGAGGCTGAGGCAGGAGAATGGTGTGAACCTGGGAGGCGGAGCTTGCAGTGAGCTGAGATCACGCCACTGCACTCCAGCCTGGGGACAGAGTGAGACTCCATCTCAAAAAAAAAAAAAATGTTATTAGCACTTCTGAAGCCCCCTCATGCTCGCTTGCTGTCACTGTCCTCCAAGGGTAATCACGTTCTTGACAATGCCAGTTAGATTTTCTTGTTTGGTACTTTAAATAAGTGGGATTATATATTGTGTACCTTTTATCTTCCTGCTTTCACTCAACATTGTGAGATTTACCCATATTGTTGAGCATACCAGTACTTAATCCATTTTCACTGCTGTATAGTATTCTGTTTATAGGGTTTCTATTTGGGTGTTTTTCAAAACTACCGTTTTTTTCTTTCATGCTATCTTATTACCGTCTTATGACCCAATTTGGGCATATTGGAAGCTACAGGCAGTTTCTAATGGCTTATAGGAGAGAGAATTTCCTTTTTCTTTAGTGGCTGGTGAATTGGAATCATCAAAAAATATATATGTGTGCATGTGTGTGTGTAGTATACATATTACTATGGTGGGATGATTTGGAGCATGCAGAGGCAGATACAGTGGTAGAATCAGCTTTCTTCCTCCCTCTTTTTCTCCCCTCCCTCTCTCTCTTTAACTCAGCAGTTTTTCTATCTTAGTTTCCCAACTTGTGTGGGTATTTTATATTCCACATAAATTGAGGGTGGAGGGCAGCTTCTGGTTGTGTTGAGAGATTGGCAGAATTGACAAAAGCAAAATGAAACAATCTCAGCATTCTGGAAAAATTGAGCAGGAGCATACAACAATCTGAGAAGTATTTATGCCTATAACTGCTGAACTTCAGGTGAGAACAGTGAGACTCTATGGCATTTGTCCTGGAGCTATTCCCATGCCCTCTCCCATCTGTTTGGTAAAGAGGTTCTGTCCAGTCACTGTCAGCTGTGAGGACCAACAGCTTCTCTGTATGGGCGAAAAGGGGGAAGACTGTTCATTTTAGAGTGGTAACAACCCTGCCTGTGGTCTTGCAGAGAGGCAGGTGAAGATGGACAGCAGCTCTGTTTTAGCCCAAGATTGGGGTAAGATAGAAAAAACTATTTGAAGAAATAATGGACAAAAACATACTTGAGGATAACCTCATCCAGGAAGCCCAACAAACCCTAAATAGCGTAAGTACAAGGAGATCTTGACCTAGATACATCATAGTCAAAGTGTAGAAAGCCAAAGAAAAAAAGAAAATCTTGAAAGTAATGAGAAAAACAGCTCAGCACGTCTGGGAAGCATTAATAAGATGAACAGCTGACTTCTGACTTGAGACAGTGG